AAAAGAGGGGTGAATTATTATACAGAGATGAAGAAACATAAAACATTAACATCAGCTTAAACAAAGGAATCCCAGTCTCCAGGTATGGACATGTATACCTACAGTAGGGCATCAACTCTTACATTCCAACTGTTACACATGGAGAAGCCAGAAAACAATGCAAATGTTCCAAAACCACTCCCACTTTAAAACAGCTTTATCATGTGTTAAAACTGAAGCAGTTTTGCTACATCTGCATCATTTTCTGGCTTCTCCATGTGTAAAAATTAGAACATAGAAGTCGATGCCTGTTTAGAATGCCTCTAAATGTACATTTGTCCATACCTACAGAGATCAAGATTGCTTCCGACTTACCCATATTTACCATCCTAATGGCTGCTGACCTTTTGAAATGACTCCAAAGGTACCCGTGTGCATGCCCTCTGTAAAACTGCCTTGTCTTCCCCATTATTTACTATTAAGCCCACCTTTGGAGTAGCTATGAATTTTCATTAATCTGTATACTTTACTTCCAATTTAATAATGAAAATGTTTAACAGTATTGGGCCTAGTACCAGTCCTTGCAGAATCCCACTGCAAACACTTCAATTTATGACTATTCCTCCTGGACAAGTACTTTGAGACTTGCCAGTTTGCAATTTCTTCACTTACTGTGATACACAGATACCACATAACACCAATTTTTAAAATCATAACAGTATTCAATACCAAGACAAATGACTTAGTGTAAATGCAATATGCTTTTTCTGCTACTTTTATCAGCCAAATCTGTAATCACCAGAAAGAATGCAATCAGATGCATCTGACAAGACATTTTCCAAAAAAACATTTTGACTGACATTTCTCTCCTTTAATCCCTTGTCATCTTTTCTCTTATTTTACTCAGGACTGACTGATGCTAGGCTAACTACAAGTACTGGGGTCACCACAACATTAACATCTCTTCCAGTCTTCCAGAAAAGCTGTGGAATACTTGGGATAATTAAAAATGAACACCAGCAGGCCAGAGATTGGTCTTGAACCAATTCCTAAGGAACAAGTTATCCAAGCTTGCTGATTTAGAAATGTTTATTAGTAGTAGCTGCCTAATAGTCTCTGGATGAGTATCACCTTTTGCTTCATTCCTAGCGCAGAACTAGGAACAGAAATATTTAACACTGGGCACATCTACACAAGACACTTAATGCGCATTAGCCTACCAACACTGCGCGGTACTGTGTCACAGTGAAAACCGTGCTAATAGCCTACTGCACAGTGTTATTAGGCTATGTTGTGAGTATCACGAAAAAAACATGTGCCAGTGCTACTGTGCAGTAACTCACTGTACTGCACATTTACTTAGTACTTTATTAAGCAAGTACTAAACTAAATGCGCAGTATGCAAGGTGTATATGAAATGTACATAAGTGCCCACTTTTACCTTTTTTACACTGTCCCCATCTTCAGCTAGTAACAGGTTTGTGCAGTTATGAGAATTTCTTTTGTTCCTCATGTATGAATTTCTTTTGTTCCTGGCTACTGTCCCTAACCCCGCGGTTAAGGATATTTTGCCGACGTGGTTGCCAGCCCCTAGACAATGCTCTAACCGTGACAACTTCGGACATATACTGACAACTGCTTACCCCTTGCCCTTTTTCTATTTATTATGAAATGTGATATCTGATGTTTAAATCACCACATTCACCCCACTGCTGAACCAGGATAGGCTGTAAGCCAGAAAAAAGGGTGAGTTGTGGGACTCCTTCACCACTGAGGCAGAGGCTCCTTAAAATGCTTAAATGTTGCAGAAAGGACAAGGACTTCTTGGTCCAAGGTAAGATCTCCCCTCATGGCACAGCTGAGACAGAATCAGATGAGCTTGCAAAAGGCAAGGCGTCCTTCCTCGGGTCCGAGGCGTGGAAAAGATGATGAACCCAAGAAAGAACCTCTTCTGGCTGCAAAAGCTCGTCGAACTCGACCCTGTCAACCAACGCCATCACCCTGAGAAACCCTTGCCTGTCACATCCCTCCTGGGCTGCCAGGGCTGCAGCATCCCTCCAGTGAGCGCTACCTCAGGATCCCACCCACGTTTTCCTGCCTCAACTTCTTCCCCAGGTCTGCCCCACTTGCCTCTCGTCACCTTTTGGCAGCAGCAAATGGGTACCTATGGTGGCTTGCACCCGCTCCTTTTTTCCCCTCACCCATCCCGCCCCAGCTATTGGTGCTACCAACAGTTGCAGGAAGACACCAGGTGCCTTTCTTTTTTTCCCCCCATCTCAGCTGCTCCCCAACAGGTCCAACCAGTCACACCCCTATTCCAAGCAGGTGTGCAGCCACCTTCGCTCCCCTTCCAGCCTGGGGTGATGATGACTAGGAGGACGAGCCGCACCCCTCAAAACAGCCAACCAACCACATCCCGGGGCTAGGGAGCCCCCACCACCTCCTGTCAGCCCCACAACTGCCGTGGCTGGAGCGTGGAGTGGGCACCTGCCCCTCACAACCCCTCCCCACCAGCGACCGTTGGGGGCAACGCCCAGGCTTCGAAGGCGGGGGGAGGGCGCGGACGTCACTTTGGAACACTCGCGGTTGCGGGGGGGAGGACACGTCACTTTCGAACGCCCTCGGGGGGGAGGACACGTCACTTTCGAACGCCCCCGGGGGAAGACACGTCACTCTGGAACGCTGCCCCCCACCTCCCGCGCTGGGCCCACCTCACGAGGTCGCGGTAGTCCAGGAAGCTGAGGACGAGCAACAACGGGTCCGTGGGCAGCAGCTCCAGGCTCAGCGGCTGCTGCTCCATGTCCGACATGGCGCGAGGCCGCGGGTCCCTGCTGCCGCTGCTGCCGCCGCCGCCCGGGCCTGGTGCGGCACCAGCGCCCGCCCCTCGCGCCGGTTTGTTATCGTAAGTCACGGCGAGCCGGGGAGGGAGGAGGTCCCGGGCGGGCGCTGGGCGGCAGCGCCACCTGCAGGCCGGCGGGGGGACTTCAGGCTCCTATCCTGGCTGTGGAGTGGCGTTGTGGGCACCTTGCGGAGCCGCCCCGGGCGCAGGAGTGCTCAGGGCTCAGCCCAGCCAAGGGGCGCAGAGCAGGAGCGTTGTAGCACCATCGTTGCCAGGTCTGAAATGTGACATGATCATATTGGAAGCTCAGAATTCTCGTGTTTGCTGAAAAACGATGCAAAAAATCTGCAAATATGTATGCAAGGCAGCCTTTTCCTTATTTCCTTTATATTGCTCCCTGTAACTCCTCGAACAGTGAGTGAGAACCGGGTCATCAAAGTTGATGCATGTCTTTCTTTCTGAGGCCAACAGTCTTCAGAAAGAGCTGGCAGCAAACCCAGAAGTCAGTTAAAGTCTGTGAGAGTGATTTGGGTTTTGAATATGCTGTGTCAATGAGCTGCCTCAAAAAATACCGTACATTTTGAACACCTCAGTAGTTGGAAAAAAATTTTCTTAGCAAGCTTTCTGGTTTAGAAACCTTTCGTCAGGCTGAGGAAGCGCCTGCAGTTAGCGTGTGCTCTTCCATCCAGGAAGGTGGCTCATCCAGGAAGAGCATGCACCAACTGCAGATGCTCCCTCAGCCTGACCAAGGATTTCTAAACTCAAAAGCTTGCTAAGAAAAAATTTTCCAACTATTTAGTTGGTCTAATAAAAGATATTGGATTTACCCAAAGACCTTTGTCTGCCTATGTCCTTAGATCAACACGGCTACAACCTATGCCCCAAGATACATACATTTTGAACGCTTTTACTGTTATTGATTGAACACCATACAAGGGGTTAATTATGGTGCAAGTATGATAATTATCGTATACCTGGCAACACTGCCCAGCATGGGGTTACACCCAGCCCAGGGGGCCTTGTTCCACTGCAGCTAGGGCCATGACGCCCACAGGGGCTGGCCTAGGTCACACTGGTCACCTACATGCAGCAAAGGCCTCCTGGCACCCCTCCAGGCAGTGAAGGGCTGCCACCTAGTGGTGCCACCTGCTGCCCTAACCGCTTAGCCCAGGGATTGTCCCCCAGGGGGCACTGAGGTGCCTTGAGAGCCTTTCCAGGATGCCACAGGGTGCCACACAACGGTAGCAGTCTTAGGTGCGCATACCATGATTCACAAGCCCAGAGATTTTAAATAGGAGTCCCCAGTATCCAAAATATTCTGGTGTGACCTTTCTGAGTTCTTTGCAGCAGAATTATGGAGAAACAAGGCCGGACGGGACCTCCACAGGTCATCAAGTCCACCTCCCATAAAGGACTGCTCTATTTTTTTCTGTAGTCAAAAAAAAGAGTGAAAACTAAGGTGCTAATTATTGTAACCAACATCATAAAAATACATGTATAATCCCATTGTCCTCTGAAAGTAAGGATCTCAAAGCCTTTTACAAACAGTAAAATACACCTCACAACTTCCTGCGTATTGATAAATCTCCTGAGTTTTGCCAATAGGGAAATTAAGGCATCATGTTACTGAATCAGAGAAAACTATAAACCCTTTGGGTCCTTATACATGCATCTGAATTAGTTCCCCTATCCCTCTGTCTCAGATAATACAGTTAGGATCCCTAGGACACACGCTTTTTCAGGAGGGAAAAAAAACTCTCAATGACAAATGAGTGTTAAAGTGTCTGATGAGAAAAATAGACTAACTTGGAGTAATTACCAGCTGGAGGAATAGTTCTACTGATACCCTCAAACTCATTACCTTTTTCATTTTTCCTTTATTTTTAGATCTCAGTAGTGTGATCCTGAGGCAGCACTACACTGTCATGACACCTCCAGTAAAGTAAGGACTTGTGAGGGAGACACCAGTGTTTGTATGTGTCTACATTTCTGTGAACTTGACTTTGCCTTTGGCATCTATGTTTTAAAAACATATCCCCATGGAGAAAAAATTCAGAATGTTTAAAGTGCACTAAAATATTACTGCAGTTTGCTTTGTGTATTTTTTTTGCCATTTTGGATTTCACGGTGTGTAGTAAACAGTCTTCAAGGAGGAGGTAGGCACAGCTACAAACAGCCACGTACCATTCCCACTGCTCTCTGATCCATTCCAAAGGATCAATCAAACATTAGGTATTCTCAGATCTGCATTGTTGTTAGCCAAAGTGATTTTATCACCAGTAATGTAAACTTATTTTTACTTTGCTCATACTGTGGAGGTCTTTTCTTTGTAACTTTATGTAATTTTATTTTGACATTTGCTGTTGCCAGGTAACGGTCATCCCTTATATCCACTCCTCTCCAACCCTATCTCTTGAGGTGATTGAGACTCTGTTCCTTCAGTTAGAATAGGATTGATTTGATTTGCTGTAGTTTAGTCAGGTAATTGCCGTGTATCTTATATACATTTCAGTGTGTTTATTTTAAGTTATCCATGACGCATAACTCTTCCAAAGTATGCCTGTGTATAATAAGGTATATTGCAGGGTGTATCAATGTATAATCTCCCTGAGCTTAGTGTGATATCTCGCCCTATAGTGGTCCAGTTTTTTGCAAGAATGAGTGACTCATTCTTAACTGTTCTTCTTGACCCAGTCTTGGAACTGGCACCAGACATCATCATACTTTTGCTGATCAGTTTAGTATAGAAATACCAAATTGAGTCAGAGAATGATAAAACTTAGAAAAAAAATGAAGGAGAACTGGAAATCATACAATAATATGGTATGCCACAAAGGTGAGATAACATTCTGTGATTTGAGAAAAAAAGAAAAAAGAGAGAAAAGTTCAGTGACAGAATATGAAAACAAAAAATTCAAGAGGATCAACTGAAAATTGAATAAGACAACAACACATGAATCTGACACCATTTTGTAATGGTTTATGAACAAAAAACTGGGGTGTTAAAGTAAATGCAAGACAATTGAAAAGACCATGAATAGACAACAAAGCCAGAAAAGCAAAAGATACAGCCCCAGAAGATTAAATTAAATCAGTTTACCAAATCATCAAAAACCTTGACAATGCAACTAATCATTGCCACTCAAAAATAAGCGAGTCATAACAAAGGGGGATGAAAAGCTAAGATAGGAAGAACATTTTCAAGAAATTCTTAATAAACTAAAACTCAGAATTGCAGCTACATGCATTGAAGTGCCCCTAAAGCTTATCAACATCAGTACAGAGGCATTCACTATGAAATAAATTATTAAGGAAAGTAGATGCCAGTGAATAATTAAGGGACTAAAGAAGAGGAAATCATTTGATATATCAAATACATGTCAAATACCTGTCAACATTTTTAAAGGCCAATTCTAAAAGAATGACTGAGTTGCTATTTAACATCTGCAATTGTACATGGGGAAAACAAGTGTAAAACAAAAACAAACAGAAGAAGAGCTTCATTATTCAAATCCTAAAGAAAGGAGATAGGATTGTAACAATTGACACAGTATGACATTACTGTCTTTCCCAGAAAAAAGTTTATGGCAGGACAACATTAGGATAGATTAAATCAAAGACAAACAAGAAACTGAGAGAAGTACAAGATTTCATATACTGAACAAATACTTGTGTTGTGAAAAATCCTAGGAAATGCACTGAGGTACAAAACACCAATCATCATTAACTATATTGGCTTTGAAAAAGTCCTTGATATCTTTGACAAAAACACTTATGCAAGATAAAAGTTAGAAATAGAAGACAGAGTAGTATCAAACCTTTACGGAAAAGGCAAATGTTGTATAAAATTAATAAAAAAAAACATGATTATTTAAGATAGGGAGCAAAAATATATATGATCACCCCTGTTTTTTAACCAACCAGGGACTTGTTCACAAAAAAACTCCACTGAAGGGGACACTATGGATTTTCTTGAGTTGACACTAGGAAACTTGAAGACCTAGATTTTGTGGATGATGTAGCTCTTTACCCAGCATCTGCGTACAACAGACAAAAACTATTTCTGTTTGTTCCTGACCAGTGTTATATTGGATCTCTTATTTATTTATTGCTGTTGTCAGTATCATCATTTATTTGGTTGAAACATTTAATCCTATCTTTCACATTATATCAAAAAACCTCATAGAACCTCAAAGGGCATATCCAGATGACCACAGACATTTGTTGCCCCGGGGATAAGTAGCACCAAAACACCTTGTGCCACTGCTACTTGTCCCCAAGGAACACCCATGCCCTGTGTACTCTGGTGCAAACTAGCCCAGGTGGGATAGGGGAGGCTGGGGCAAGCAACTGTGCTAGCCCCAGTAGCCTTACCTGGGGGCCTCCCAGGGCTGCAGCCACAGAAGGAAGCCTGGATGGCAGCTGGAGTGTGGCTGGTTTTGGATGAACCATGCTGCTGCCACATACACCACCCTGCTTTATTTCAGTGTGGTTTCTTTGACCCTGGCATCTCCAGGGGTAAAAAAAACCCTTCACTGCAAGGTAGTAGCACAGGGAATGTCTGCATGTGCAGTTTGTGGTGCCTCAGACAGCTCTGAGGCACCGCAGACCACATGTACATGGTGATCCTAGTGTCAAAAAACCCAGGGGAATAAAAACCAGTGCAGCACACGTGGAAGCCACATGTGCCACCAGAAACAGAGCCTGGCCGACCGGAGCCACACTCTGGCTGCTAGCCAGGCTCCGAGCAGCTGGACCAGCGCCGCTTCTGCCCCAGGAGGCCCCAGAACCCCAAGTAAGGCTTCTGGGGCCAGCACAGGTGCTGGCCCCAGCCTCCCTTACCCCAACTGGGACAATTTGCCCTGCACCAAACCCCACATGCAGGGGCATGCACAGTGACAAAAAGCAGTGGCACAAATTTGTGCTGCTGCTATTTAACTGTGGCAAATGCATGCCCTTGTATGTGGGGACACACCCATAGAGGTTAAAATGCGGCTACCACATTCCCACAATTACTGCCAAG